TTCACGCCATTCTCCTGCCTCAGGCTCCTGAGTAGTGGGGACTACAGGTGCCCGCCACCAAGCCCGGCTAATTTTTTGTATTTTTTAATAGAGACAGAGTTTCACCATGTTAGCCAGGATGGTCTCGATCTCCTGACCTCGTGATCCACCCTCCTCGGCCTCCCAAAGTGCTGGGATTACAGGTGTGAGCCACCGCGCCCGGCCACTTGCCCAAGCTTTTACAGCAGGAGCGGATGCGATCCTAGCCGTGGCTTCCAGACCCCTGGGCTCCTCACACCTTCCCACATACCCCGCAGGCTGCTGCCAGGGTTGCTGACCCACCCCTCCTCCCCCTTCCCCTGGAGTCAGTGGTGGGAAGCTTCCCAGGAGAGTCCTCAGCAGCCTCTGGAACACAGGACTTGGCCATGACTGTTTCCCTCCCCTGTGTGGGCCCAGATGGTTGAGGTACATCTAGGGGTTCTCATCCCAGCTAGGCTCAGGTTGGGCAGCCTGAAACAGGATGGGTCTCCTTCTAGAAGTCCCTTTCAGCTAACAATCTGGAACTTGCAATTGACACAGATAGATTCAGGAGTGTAGGCTAGACTTGGCTTCCAGCCTGGGCCCTGTCTGGCGTTCCTGGGCTTCAGTTTCTTCATCTGTACAGTGGCCTCAGGAGGATGGGAGGCCCCACCTGGTAACAGCCTTGTGCCACCCCAGCTGGAGCAGGAGGTGGAGCGGCGGCAGCGGCTCGGGCCGGAGTCAGCGGCTAGGAAAGCCCTCATCGCGAGTTCCTACCACCCAGCGCGGCCTGAGGTCTATGACTCACTGCAGGTACCAGCCAGCCAGAGTGCTTGAAGGCCGGTACTGGAAAGAGGAGGCAGCATCCAGGGCTGAGGGGCTGCCTGTCCCATAGCTGGTGTGTTCTGCCCCCAGGATGCAGCTCTGGCCCCCGAGTTTCTGGCTGCGGCTGAGTACAGTGTGTCCCCGGGCGCAGACCTCAAGGGCCTTCTCCAGCGGCTGGAGACAGTATCAGGTGAGGTCCTAGCCCTGAGACCTGGCAGGACCAGGGGATGGCAGCCTGGGAAACCTGGGTGTGGGATACTGGGGTCCCTCCAGCCACCATCTCTGCCTCCAAAAACCAAAGCAGCAGGAGCTGGAAGGGTCAGTGGGACCAGCCTGCCAGGAACAGGACATCTGCATTCATTCAATACCTGCCATGAGCCTGGTATCTTCATTCCTTCCTTCACACCTTCCTTCGTGCCCTCATCCAGCAAATAGTAGGTATTTGTGTCAAGTGTGGGACAGCTGGCACACTGAAACAAGGCTGATCCAAGATCTTTTTTTTTTTTTGAGACAGTCTCGCTGTGTCGCCCAGGCTGGAGTGCAGTGGCCGGATGTCAGCTCACTGCAAGCTCCGCCTCCCGGGTTTACGCCATTCTCCCGCCTCAGCCTCCCGAGTAGCTGGGACTACAGGCGCCCGCCACCTCGCCCGGCTAGTTTTTGTGTCTTTTTTAGTAGAGACGGGGTTTCACCATGTTAGCCAGGATGGTCTTGATCTCCTGACCTCGTGATCCGCCCGCCTCGGCCTCCCAAAGTGCTGGGATTACAGGCTTGAGCCACTGCGCCCGGCCGATCCAAGATCTTAAAGGGACCACTGAGACAGGTGTGGGCAGGGTAAAGGGACCAGTAAGGAATGGCAAAGCCCCGCCCCCCAGGGCTGGCAACGGGAGGGAGCAGTTACCACCTGGAGTTGTGGCTCTGGGCAGAGGCCTGGAGCCATGCCAGACTCCAAGTAGGGCAAAAAATGCCCCATTTCTCCTCTTACCTTTGGATTTCCTGCTGGGCTTACTTATTGGCTAAACCCAGCAGGAAATGCTGGGCAAGGGAGGTTTGCGTATTGTTTAACCTCTGTGACTCAGTTTCCTCATCTGTAAAATGGGAGCAACAGTAACCCCCTTTCTTAAGGCACCGTGATGATCAAGTGAGTTAATCTACATAGAGTGCCTGACACAGGCCCGTACCTAGTGTTTGGAAAGTGTTTCCTCTTACTGGCACTGATAGCCTGGGCTAGGGGCTCCTGTGGGAGACAGATATGTTTCCCCTCATGGAGGCTGTGCTTTGTTAGGGGGCATGGGTGGAAGGAACTCCCCTCCTCCCAGCCTGGGGGTGCTCTCCTCATTGCCTTCCACTCCCCGGCAGCTGAGATTGTGCTGAGGCTGTTGGCTGGGGCAGGGCCCAGGCTGCGAGGTGGCCCCATCGGGGGCACACTAGCCCTGCACCCCTGGGCACTGGTGCATCTGCCAAGAAATGTTTAGGTTTCCATTCTCAGCCTGGCTTCTTCCCCCTCCAGGACCCAGCAAGAAAGAACAGCCTCTCCTGGCCTTCCTGCTGGGGGACAGAGGCTCCCAGAGCCACTTCTGAGTTGGGGTACAGACCTCGGTGGCTCATCAGGTGAAAGGAGGTGCAGAGAGCCTGAAGTTGGCTCTGTGATCCCAGCTTGGCCGTCACTGGCCTGCCAGGTGTCGCTGGGCTACTTCCTTTCCCTCTATGGGCCTCAGGACCCATATGGGAGCTCCCAGGGCCAGCCCTGTGGACACTTGTGGAGTCTGGGGAATGGTTCCGGGCATAAGTAGGGGGGCATGGGAATCAGCCTCCCCTGCTCCTCATGTTACTTCAGTCATCACAACAGCCCTGAAAAGCGAGGGCCTTATCCCCATGGCACAGGTGATGAAACTGAGGCTTGGGGGAGTGAACAGACATGCCCAGACTCACATGGTTCACGGGAAGACTGAAGCCCAGGCTTGGCCGGCCCACAGCCACATTCAGGCCAACAGACCATCCCTCCTTCCACAGGGGAGAAGTGCATCTACCGGGTGCCTGTGTTCACAGCACCCTTCTGCCAGGCCCTGCTGGAAGAGCTGGAGCACTTCGAGCAGTCGGACATGCCTAAGGGGAGGCCCAACACCATGAACAACTACGGGGTGGGTGAGGCCTGGCCAGTGGCAGAGGAGGGGGTGGCTGAGGTCAGGAGGCAGTGTTGGAGGTGCTGCAGATGGGCTGCCTGCCCGGGCTGCGAAAGGTCACAGTGGGATCACGGCGGAGTGGAAGCCCAGGGTTGCAGCCCCCTAGTTTCCTTGCTGACCCCAGGAATCCCCTCCCAGGTGCTGCTGCACGAGCTCGGACTGGACGAGCCGCTGATGACACCACTGCGGGAGCGCTTCCTGCAGCCACTGATGGCCCTGCTGTACCCCGACTGTGGCGGGGGCCGGCTCGACAGCCACCGGGCCTTTGTGGTCAAATACGCACTGGGCCAGGACCTCGAGCTGGGCTGCCACTATGATAATGCCGAGCTCACCCTCAATGTGGCCTTGGGCAAGGTCTTCACAGGGGGCGCCCTGTATTTTGGGGGCCTCTTCCAGGTGAGTGTGTGACCCATGTGGCAGGACCTGGGGCAGCTGTGAGTGCCCAGGCCTGAGCCGTGCCATCTGCAGGCACCCACAGCCCTGACGGAGCCCCTGGAGGTGGAGCACGTGGTGGGCCAGGGTGTTCTCCACCGTGGCGGCCAGCTACATGGGGCCCGGCCCTTGGGCACTGGTGAGCGTTGGAACCTCGTCGTCTGGCTCCGAGCCTCTGCCGTGCGCAACCGCCTCTGTCCCATGTGCCGCTGTGAGCCCGACCTGGTGGATGATGAGGGCTTCAGTGATGGCTTCACCAGAGAGGAGCCGACCGCGGTGGATGTGTGTGCGCTCACCTGAGGCTGCTTGGGCCCAGTGTGGGGGTGGCAGGGCAGGTGAGGGCTCTGTCGCCTTGGGCTGGGGGCAGAAATAAACTCCCCGCAGCCTACCGCATTTCTTGGCTCGAGGCTGTGCCAGCTTCTGGGTCATCCTCTGGGCAAACAGGCTGCCTTAGTTCAGGTTTGTCGGAAGCAGAGTGTGGAATGAGGCTTCGGCAAGGGAGTGAGGGAAGCAGGGGAGGGGAGGGAGCAGCTGGGCAAGGAGGTGGCTTCAGAGGAAGTCCAGCCTCAGCAGGACCCGCAAAGAGCTCCAGGCACAGCCCACAGTACCACAGTGTGCCCACACCATCGGTTGGCTCCCAGATGAGGAGGCCAGAGAGGGGTGAGTAACTTCCCATGCACTTATCTCCAGGGCAGGGTACCTTCCAGTAGCCAAGGGAAGCTTCCAGAGACAGCACAGATGTGAACCCTCAGCAGCAGGCATCCCCCCCAGTGGCTCGGTGGGCCACCAGTAGCATCTTCTAGATGGCAGAGGGGGAATGGCAGGGCCAGGAGCCAGGCTGCCTGGGTTCCCACTCTGCTGCTGCCACTTCCAGCTGTGTGGCTCTGGATGAGCCTTTGCCTTTTGGTGCCTTGGTTTCCGCATTTAGCACCTACTTCCTAGAGCTGTTTTGAGAGTCAGATACGCCGATGTATCTATATAAAGTGCTTTGCAAGAGCCCTTTGTGTTTGCGGCTGTCATTATTGTGGAAGAGTTGCTATTGGGGGCCTGAAATCGGATGAAGCGCACAGCCACGATTTGGGTTACACATTTGAAAATCAGGGGGCTTCCATATTGCAGTCTTGAGTTCGGTCTCCCTGGGAAGGTGGGGCCACCAGCCCCATGCCCCTGTTGCACGGATCAGCTGGAGCAGAATCCCGGCTTTCCTCCGGATGGGCCTGGGTCCATGCCCGCGCTCACTGCCAAGATCTCTCTGGCCCCTACGGACACGAGTTTGCGACCTCTGAGTCACTGGGTGGGCTCGTCGGAAAGACCCGGGCGTCTCACTCTGGAGCTCACAGTCGTACGGAGAAGACAGCACCAGCCGGGGAGGAGGGCGGCGCGCGCGAGGGTCGCCTTCTTCCCAGGGCACCGGGGGCGTGGGTGCTGCGGGAGCGCACCGAAAGGGCAGCCTTGGAAGCGGGCGCAGCTTCGGCAGACACAGGCCTGAGGGGCTGCGGAGCTCGAGGGCCGGCGCTAGGCTGCAGCGCACGGCCTCGCCCCGGCGCCCCTCCTTGCCTCTGCGGGAGGTGGGCGCGCCCAAAACGGAACCTGGGGCGTCAGAACGAAAGGCAGTGGCGCCGCGCTTCCCGGCCGGACAGCCTCCAGCGCAGCGCCCCGGCCGGAAGCCTTCTCGCCGCCGCTTCCTCTCGAGAAGGCGTGGGGCGGGCTGTCCGGCCCGCAGGGCGGTCAAGGTGGGAACGGAACAGCCCCAGGGGACCCCTTGAGGCGGCGAGGGCGCTAGGCTGGAGGGTAGGAGAGCGCGGGAAAGCGCCCCACACGCCACTCGCGGCGGACTGCGGCTGGTTCCCAGGGGCTCCAAGCCAGGTGCGCGGGCGTGGGGCCTCCGGGTGGGGGCGCGCCCTTAATAGGCGCCGCTGCGGGAACTGGAGTCGGTATGAGAAGCCGGAGTCCCCAGCATTGGGGGTGGGTGAGGGTCGCTTATTTTCCCGGGGCGGTGACGGGTACTGGGCGCCGCGAGGCCCCAACCCCGCTAGAGCCGCCCTTGGAGCCCGCCCGTGGCCGGCTTGGGGGGCTTCGGCTCAAGCGCTTCCTCCCCGTCGCTAGCCCGCGGCGCCATGGCTCACGTCGGCTCCCGCAAGCGCTCGAGGAGTCGCAGCCGGTCCCGGGGACGGGGGTCGGAAAAGAGAAAGAAGAAGAGCAGGAAGGACGCCTCCGCATCCCAAGGTCGCAAGGCCAGCACGGCCCTCGGGGCGGAGGGTGAGGACCACAGGCATCGGGGAGAGGAGGCACAGCCATTTCCCGGGGAAGTCGGGGCGAGCAGCGGTCGGGGACGCTCAGTCATGCCTCTGTGCATCCGGGCCTGAGATGTGAGGGCCAGGCGCCACGGGAGCCGGGAAGGGGCTCCTCCGGGAAGCTCCATCTGTGTTCTGGAAAGCCCCGCAGGAGGCGCTCACCCTGTAGATGGTCTGTGCCTGCCCCAGGCCAGAGTAGGGGACGAAGGTTTACCTCTTCCCCTCCTGGCCTTCTAGCCTCACCTTCTCCCTGCATCACAGAGAGAAGCAAGCACAAGGCCCGGAGGAGACCACGATCCAGCTCCTCCTCCTCCTCTTCCAGTTCTAGCTCTTCTTCCTCCTCGTCCTCCTCCTCTTCCTCCAGTGATGGCCGGAAGAAGCGGGGGAAGTACAAGGACAAGAAGAGGAGGAGGAAGAAGAAGAAGAAGAAGCTGAAGAAGAAGGGCAAGGAGAAGGTGGAAGCACAGCAAGTGGAGGCTCTGCCGGGCCCCTCGCTGGACCAGTGGCACCGATCAGCTGGGGAGGAAGAGGATGGCCCAGGTACTGTGCTGCCCAGCACCTGAGAGGGAGAAGGTCCCTTCCCAAGGCCTGGCCACCACCTCCATCTTCCCTTCCAGTCCTGACGGATGAGCAGAAGTCCCGAATCCAGGCCATGAAGCCCATGACCAAGGAGGAGTGGGATGCCCGGCAGAGCATAATCCGCAAGGTGGTGGACCCCGAGACGGGGCGCACCAGGTGGGGAGCCCTCGGCCTGACTTACACCGCGGGGTCTGGGAGTGTTGGCCGAAGATGTGAGGAGCCGGGCCGGGTGGGGGTGCTGCTGCCTGAAAAAGGCCAGATGTGGGCAAAAAACCATCACTGCGAGTAAGCAGTTGTAGGGGCTGGAAGGGCCTGGAGGAGGCTTTTCAAAGGGCTGTTGTTGGCGGGGCTGAGGCTGTCAAGGTGGAGCCCAGCTCGGCTGCCTTTATCAGGGAGAGTGGGTGAGGGCCCAGAGTCTGCCCACTCAAGGCTGCGGGGCAGGAGCCTGGGAACCCTCTGCCGGCTGCTTCTGGTTCTGCTCCTTTGGCATTAGGGGAGCTGCCTATTCCTTGCTGAATGGAGACCCTCCCACCCCCAGGCTAATTAAGGGAGATGGTGAGGTCCTAGAGGAAATCGTAACCAAAGAACGACACAGAGAGATCAACAAGGTGGGTGTGGCCCCTCTGCCTGCCATCCACCCCCAGCTCTGTTTGTGATATCTCCCTCCTCCTGTGTGCTTTCTTCCCCAGCAAGCCACCCGCGGGGACGGCCTGGCCTTCCAGATGCGAGCTGGGTTGCTTCCCTGAGGGCCCCGGCTGGCCAAGGCCTGTGGACGGTGCTGGCGACCCGGCCTGGGCAGGCTTCAGGGTGCCAGTGGGAAGCCTGATGAGTGCTGGTGGCCTTTTCCCCGTGGATTGGCCTCTGGCCCAGCCCAGCCTCTTCTCAGGGGCAGGGGGTGGAGGATGGGGTCACCAGCCTGCTCGGCACCCCCATCTGAAACAGCGACACTTCTAAGCTATTAAAGGTTCTCTGGTTAGAGACTTTCTCTGTTCTGTGGCTTTTTGTGCTGAGGGGGAGGGAAGGGTGCTACATGACTGCCAGGGGAAAACAAGGGCTCCGGGAGCTTTCGGGAAAAGCTGGGGTGTCCTCTGGTGGTAGTGAGCACAGGCCACACCAGCGCCTGAGCCCTCCTCATCTTCAGGTCAGCCTGCCTGGACCAGACCCCATGCCAGCTGAACCCCAAACCCAGAGAGCTGGCTCTGAAATGCCATGCCCTGAGGCATGGAGAGGGACAGCTTCCCCTGCCATGTTCATTCCACAGATCACAACAGTGCAGAGCCAGGTGCTGGGGCCGGGTGGCCTGTGTGGGAGGCCTGGCTCCTACTGCCCAGCTGTGTCCTCCATTCTGAAGCAGGGAGGCTCACAGCACCCGCTTCACGGGGGGTCTGTGAGGGCAAACTGAGTTTCAGCCCAGGAAGGAGCTAGAATCAGGCTAGGCCCAGAGTCAGCCCTGCATGAATGTGTTGGTGTCACTGTGAATGTCACTAGCGTTACTGTTCCAGGCCCCCATCCCACCATGCCCCACGGTCGCCAGTGCAGTAAAGAGACCCAGAAGGAAGCCTTCCCGCTTCTTTAATTGGTGTAACAGACATGACGTTGTATACAGAGCACACTCAGGCCCAATGATGCAGGGACAGCAGGGACGGGTGGGGAGAGTGGGGATGCTGCTCACACATGGCCCAGAGAGACAGATGGCACATGGACAGACCAGACAGGAGGGGCTGAGACGTGAAGGCTGTGATGGGGCGGGCAGTGGGACTCAGACCGAGCCAGGGAGGGGTGGGGGTCTCTGCTGAATCCCTCTTTAGAAATCAAAGAGAAGGCAGGTGGTGGGGCCTGGGGCCTGGGGGTGTGGTGGGAGTGGGACTAAGGCTTCTATTCTAACAGGCCTGGGGGTGGCAGTCAGCAAGGCCTGCCTCACCCTTTGGTTATGACTGGTCAGGCCTGAGCCCTGCAGCTCAGCACCCAACTCTGTAAACATTTTTGGTATTTTTAAAGGACGTTGCCCTCCCTCTCTCAGTTTCAGAAAGACTGGTGCTTCCTCAAGAGGAGAATGTGCCAAAAGGAATCTGAAGGGAGGAGGAAAGCAGACCTGGATACAGAAGAAACTTCCCATGGGGGGCGGGCTGCCCACCTCGCCATCTATGGCTGAGGGCCGCTGGGAGAGCCCCAGGGGACTATTGCTGTTGTCCTTGGCATGGCTGGCGGCTGGGCAGGCAGGTGGGGAGCGAGGAGCCGAGGAGCCGTAGGGGAGCTGCCCCCTAGGGAGAGGCTGAGCCCAATGCCCACAGGGCCTCCCGGCCTTTATTGCAGGAAGGCCCGAGACTCTTCCAGGTGCTTCTCTGGATGGCTGGTCACCGGGGCAGCAGGCAAGACAGGATGAGGTGGGGCCGAGAGTGGAGGAGGCACTGGCCACAGGGCCCCTGACCGGGGCTGTGATTGTCGGGCCAAGCGACTTCCCGCTGGGAGCAGGGGTGTCAGATATTGCACTTTCACTGCAACAGTTACATGAAAACTTGGTCCATAAAATAATCGTTGCTTTATACATAATGCCTGAAACAACAACAAAAAGCTACATCTTAAATATGAATAAACCCTGAAGGTTCCATCCCTCCAGACATTTTTCTCTGCACAAAATAAATAGCTTTCACTCTGTATAGACCCACTTTTGCAGAACATTTACACGACCCTTTGGCTGTACATATCTACACACAAGAAAAAGTTAACATCACTCTGTGCACCTCCCCAGCCCCGTCCACGCGGCCCAACGCCAGGCCCAGGTCGGCCGTAGCTTCTTGGGGACGTAGCCTGTTCGCTGGACAAAGGCTGAGGCCAGGCAGGCTCTCCCGCCTCAGGGAAAGCCGAGGAGCAGCAGAGGGGCCACTGGAGCTGGCCATTGAGCGCCACAGCCAAGGTACGCTTGGTGCTGGGGAGAGAGGGCAGACGGTCAGACCCAGCGTGCAGGACAGCATGGTCCTTGTTCAAGCGAGAAATGAAGTCATGGCTGCCTGCCCTGAAGCTGACAAAGCAAGTTGTGGCTTCTTAGATTCGGCATGAAAACGGAATTGGCGTTAAAAAAACCGAAGTGTGTGCCCCACCCACCCCAGAGTAGAAATTCAGTGGGATTGCCGGGGGCGGGTGAGGCAAGGAGCCCATGCCTCGCTGAGTGGGCAGGAGCAGGGCCCACGGGACCCAGAACCAGGCTGGACTCCGTCACAGTGCTGGGTGTTTTCAGTGTGGAGGGGCTGCTCTCAGTACTGAAAGAGTTAAGAAAAGGAAGCAGCCAAGGATTGCTCATTTAAAAAAACCTCATAGAAATCAGATTGAGAAGTAGAAAGGCGTAGAAACGTGGGCGGGCGGCCTTGACTGATGGCAGGGAGCGGAAGAGGCGGCCAGGCCCGTCCAGCCCGTGGCCTGAGGCTGGAAACAACACTGGCCTGGGCTCCAGGCAGGGCAGGCGGACAGGTGGGCAGGGTCCGGGGCGCAGAAATTAAGATATGGCCTTTCTCTCCTGCTTGCACGAGGCTCTGCCGCACTGGAGCCTTCAGTGTGGTTGTAGGTCCTGGGTCAGCAGGTACTGAGTTTCATGCATGTCAACGGGTCTGTAGCCATAGGAGGTGGTAATGGGTCTCCGCTCTCAAAAATCAGTGCAAAACCAGTGAGGTTGGACAGTTGAGAAACTCGAGTTAACAAGATGCAGGCTGGACCCCTGTTGGAGCTGCTACCAAATGGGAGGGGACCTGGGAGTGAGGGTGGCCAGTGAATGGGGATGTGACAGGCTGGGCTTGGGCCCACACCTGGCACCAGGACACTTGGAGATCCACGCAGGGCAAAATGTCTGGGAGAGCCTCCCAGGCCAGTCTGAGTGGGGAGTCCTGGTCCCTCTGCCATCGTGGGGCTGGTGGTCCCTGCCAGCTTCCATGACAAGCTGGACCCGTCAGGCCCGAGGACGTGAGGCAGGGCAGGGAGCACTGTGTGGTGTGGCCCGTGTCCTCTGCAAGGCCCTGGGACAAGCTCCCGGGCCCACGTCTCTGCATGTACCCAGGCCAGGCCTCCTAGCACCATGGAGACCTCGCACTGCACTCACGGTGCCCTACTTGGAGCCCGTGGCCGCCCCCGGCTCCAGGCGGCCAGTCATGGCGCGGCCCCAGCAGCCGGCCGCCATGCTCATGCTGCGCTGGCCCCGCTGCTCGCCATCTGCCTGGCTCTGTGTCCGCTCGTGCCGGTGGCTGGGCCCGCTGGGCTGGGCCGAGATGGTGCGAAGCAGGTGGTTCCGGGAACGCAGGAAGTCGCCCTGGCCAGGCAGGCCGAAGCTGCCCTTGCGCAGCGCCATGCGGGTGGCTGTGTTGCGAGCAGGCCGCGCCCGGTGGCTGTACTTCAGCTGCGCCAGGTGGGCTGCATAGCCGTCCGTGATGAACTGCGGGGGCAGTGAGGACGGCTGTCACAGGCCGGGGCTCCCCGAGCTGCCCGCCTGCACCCGCCTTACAATGCGCCTGCTCACCTGGCACTGCTGCTGCAGCTTCTTGGTAGGCCGGCCCACGATGTAGATCTGCATGGGGGACAGGCTGATGGCGCTGTAGACCGCCACGTCCTTGGTGGAGCCGTAGGCCGCGTGCACACGCAGGTGCAGCTGTGGGGAGACTGGCATGGGCACGGGCACCATGGTCCCTCTGCCGCCACCCGTCCTGCCCCCATCCTCCCGGGCCCCACCTCGGAGATGAGCAGCTTCAGGAAGTTGGCCTTGTGCCGCAGCGGGTCATGCACCAGGCCGTCACAGAAGGACACCACGCCGTGGGGGAAGTTGTGCTGGGCCAACCACGCCACCACCCGCTGCTTCTGCATGTCGGGCCGGCCCGTCACGTAGATGATGAGGTAGCCCAGGTCCTGCCAGTGCCTGGGGGTGAGGGGCAGGCCTGGGTGTCTCATGGCCACCCCTTCCTCGCTCCTGGGCCTCCCTGTCTCCTGCCCAGTCAGGGCCCACTTGGGCCATTGGAAAGCACATCTGATAGAGCTCAGACAGTGACGATGACAATGGTGACAATGATGGTGCCGCAGCAGGCCCTCAGGTGCTTGCACCGGGCGGCAGATGCCCCTGCTGTGGTGTCCCTGGCTTACCAGCCTCACTTTCCAGATGCGGGAATTGAAAGCCGACATTGAGAAATGACATCGCTTGCCCAAGGTGACATAGCTGATAATTGGGGGTGCCGGGCTCTGAACTGAGGTCATCAAGGCCCAGTGCCTGAGCCAAGCGTCCCCCACAGAGGTTCCCCTGTCCTCCTCCACTTGGCTAGCAGGAGCCCCTGAGCCCACACACCTTGCTACAGCCCTTTTCTGCCCCTCCGGGCCACTCACCGCACCACGTCCACGGCCCCGGCCCGCACCTTGGGGTCGCTGCCCATGATGGACACGCTAGCGGCAAAGGAGCCGTCGATGCTGAAGACCACGAACTCTGTGCCCTTGGGCAGCACAGTGATGTAGCTGTCGGCAAACGTGTGGTCTCCCCTGGCAGGTGGTGGGGTGCTCATCAGAACCACCCAGAGCATCGCCCTGCCCACCCCGCCCACCCAGTGCAGGCATATACCTGACCACCATCTTGATGGGGTAGACACCCACGCCCAGGCGGTGCGACTCAGGGATGGTGTAGGAGACACGCCCACTGTTGTTGGTCACCAGCGTATCCAGGTAGAGCCACTCGCCCGAGGGTGGCTGGGTCATGATGTGCACATCCACCTGGGCCCAGCAGGCTGGTCACGGGCTGGCTGTGTCTGGCCTCCCCACCCCCTGTACCCCGGCCAGAGGGCAGCAGGGAGCTCCCCAAAGTCCCTCCATGTTACCCCTACCCGCCGTGTCCTTACCTTCTCCCCAGTCAGGGTGACCATGTCCAGGGGCCCATACATGAACCTGCCCGTCAGAACCTGGGGGCCGTCCTCATTGGCGAGGGCATCATTGATCCGGTGGTTGGCCGTCACGTTCTGTGGAGGGA